TTAGGTACCCAATGAAAGAGACTTTGCTAAAGTAAAAGGAATGAAATCATTTTAAAGCCGCAGAACATTCAAGGTACAAAAATTCAGACAGTAATAAATTAAAGCCTAGCTGGATAGCAGGATTACAAACAGCAGCTCTCTGCCACTGTGTACTACTACAGGGTTAAAAATGGACTGTGAAACTGATTTAACATGTAAGAACTGTGGACTTCAGTCTTCCCCAGTGAACTAGTCATTAAACCCAGATCAAATGTGATCGGAATTGCACCATTTGAGAGCAGAGAACACAACTGTTCAGCAGTCAGCAGTGGAGAGCTGAACAGCAAGCCCACCATCTGACTGACATCAGCAAGCCCACCATCTGATTAACATGAAGACTACACATACCAAAGTGAGAAAAAATATATCCAAATGCAGAAGAAAAAGCCTTGAACAACTTGTTTCTGCTCTTGAGCAAGCTGCAAACAGCCATCAACAATTCATTATTGATTCTAAACATTTTCCCCTTCCTCTGCTGCAGTAAACCCCATAATCTTCTCTTCCATTTTAAGTACCTATTCTCATTTCCTTTCTTCCCACGTGTCCTTGAAAAAAGATGGGAGAGGAACACTAAGAAATACTTTGTGGACTATAAGTCACCTGAAGTACTAGACCCTAAACCCTCCAGCTATTAGAAGAGCATTTTTCTTCCCTGTTTGTAGCCTCTGCTTGTTTTATCAGCCCCTGATTCTTGTTTCTGCCTTAGGGACAGGAGGAAGAATTTCTACTGCTGTTTGAACTAAAAATGGCATTCACAGGTTGACCAGTTTTCCTACTTCTCACAGGTCTCCAAATGCCACCAGCTAAAGCAAACAGCCCTGTCAGCCTCTACAAATGGTACTCTAAAGTGTCCCATATGATCGCATCCCTGTGACAAGGATTGCCAGGGGGGTGTTGAGCCAGGGAGAAGTAAAAACAACTTTAAAAGGCAGTATGACTCCAGGAAGGCTGCTACAGCAGAGTATTGGTGTGGGATCAAGCTTTAGCACAGGAAATGAAAGGGAGCTGCTGTACACTGTCCACTGCTCTACAGGGATCACCCTGCACCTGCACAGGTGAGAAGGCCTGCTCCTCATCAGGAACAGCTCGCCAAATACATCCCTGTATCTGTTCAGAGAATCGTAGAATTATTTGGGTTGGAAGGGACCATGCTGCCACAGGCAGGGGCACCTTCCACTAGACCATGTCACCCAAGGCTCTGTCCAACCTGGCCTTGAACACTGCCAGGGATGGGGCAGCCACAGCTTCTCTGGGCACCCTGTGAAGGTCAGGGCCTCAGCACCCTCACAGGGAAGAGCTTCTGCCTAAGAGCTCATCTCAGTCTCCCCTGTTCTGGCAGGTCAAAGCCATTCCCCTTGTCCTGTCCCTACAGGCCCTTGTCCAAAGCCCCTCTCCAGGTTTCCTGCAGCCCCGTTAAGCACTGGAGCTGCTCTGAGGTTTCCCCTTAAGGAGCCTTCTCTTCTCCAGGCTGAACCAGCCCAGCTCTCTCAGCCTGGCTCCCGAGCAGAGCTGATCCAGCCCTCACAGCATCTCTGTGGCCTCCTCTGCACTCGCTCCAACAGCTCCATGTCCCTCTTGTGCTGTTGCCCCAGAGCTGGATCAGGACTGCAGGGGGGTCTCCCCAGAGCGCACCAGAGGAGGAGAATCCCTGACCTGCTGTTCACGCTCTGGGGGTGCAGCCCAGCATATGGGGGGCTCTGTTCCAGGAGCACAGTCTGTATATTACAGCTGTATCTCCAATAAGCTTAAGAACAGTAACCAGAAAAAAGTGCAAGGTGCCAGGAAAGCTTTTTCAGACATCCTTAAGGCTTACCAGCAAACTGATTTGTATTCTGACCCCAAACAAGGCAGCAGTGGGATTGAACACAGGAGAAGGCACAGAACCTCCACCAGAAACCACATACCCTCCCTGGAAGAAAAGCTAGCAGCAATAGCTGCTGCATCACCATCTGCATTGCAAGTACAAGAGTTTTAGTGCTTACGGTGGATGAATGCTTGCAAAGTCCCTGCATTTCTCCCTTCCTCTACCACACATCCTTTAACAGGATAAAAGCCTAGGTAAAGCACTGGAATGTTAACTGTCGTCCCAGGAACTATTAGGTAACTGAGTAGCCTACAATGTTTATTGAGGGTATTCACTGTTGGAATTTTTTGGTAATATTTACTGCCTAAAGACAAGTATCTGTGGATAATAAAAATTAGAGTTAATTTAAATGGACAACTGTGGGAATCTATTAAAAACTGTGCTTACAGCTAGTAAATGGCAGATTAATTACATAAAAAGGCAAAATTGTTCCACTTGCTTTTTTTAAGTCATTTTGTTGATGGTTCTAAAATAACTACAATTGCTCCAGAAAGAGATCCTGTTCTGTGAAAAGTGGCATTCCACCATCATCAGCTGCTCTTGGAAAGGACATAGCAGAAGTCATGAGAGGCAAAGAAACGGATAAAAGAAGCAACAGTATCCAGAATTATAGCCTAAGGCTGTTTACCCTTCAAATGTATGCCAAAGCATGGGGAAATTTAAAAAGCTAACAACATTTCAAGCCAGTGGTGATGGATATCTTTTCTTTAGGTAGAAAATGCTTTTAGCATAGACAGAATTTCTCAGCTAAATTGGGACTGCTTTGCGAAGTAATACTGTGACTCTGACAAAGCACTGGAAGGAACCAACTGAAGCCACTGCGCAGTAACTGGTGTTTTCTGAGACATCAACATAGATTGTACTCATGCTATATGTAGACATCAATCTCACAGCATGAGTACCTTTGAAAAAGAGCATCATAGAATCCCAGACTGGTTTGTGTTGGGAGGGACCTTAAAGCTCATCCAGTTCCAACCCCTGCCACGGGCAGGGGCACCTTCCACTAGAGCAGGTCGCTCCAAGCCCCTGTGTCCAACCTGGCCTTGAACACTGCCAGGGATGGGGCAGCCACAGCTTCTCTGGGCACCCTGTGCCAGTGCCTCAGCACCCTCACAGGGAAGAACTTCTGCCTCAGATCTAACCTGAACTTCCCCTGTTTGAACCCATCACCCCTCATCCTATTGCTACAGTCCCTGATGAAGAGTCCCTCTCCAGCATCCTTGTAGCCCCCTTCAGGCACTGAAAGGCAACTCCAATGTGAAGCATTTTCAGACTCAAGTCAACTAGATGAGTCAACGTCTATTAGAATCAGAGTAGTAATACTTTCAGCAAGTACGTGGCAGTCCATATGAAGTATTACCTACGATTTTGGCACTGGCCAGTTATAAGCACAAGAAATAACCTAAAATCCCTACACATCAGGCTTTATCTTGAGTAACTGTCCATTGAACACTTTGGGTCATTCAGAAATGCGCATATTGAGATGTAACAGTATCGGCTAAGCTCTGGCCTGACAAGGCTGTGAGGAGTGCTTTAGAATCACTGAAATTCCACTGAAAGAATGTTAAAATCAACAAAGCCATAGAAGTATTAACTCTAGGAAAAGAGGAAGCACTGATCATTAGCACTGATAGTCAGGCTAACAATTAAAGATACTTCATCATCTAAAGACACCATACATCAGCAAGTCCGGGAACTGAACTTGTTAATATCCACCCATTTTTATGTGTCTTGCACTGCGGCATGAGCCCAATGCCAAACTTCCCCCAGACAGCACTAGTAGTATGTCAGGGTTCTTCACTTGCTTCTGTTTTATTGGTTTGTTTTTTTAAGTATCCTTGGTGCAAATTAGGACATCTGAGGCTTTGAGACAGGAAAAACGTCCGTGTAGACAGCACAATGCTCATAGACAGCGCAGTGCTCATATATAGCATATTGCTCTAGACCCTCCCAGCTCTCTCAGCTGATATTTCCCCATTGTAGTTCTGCTCTTTTTGCAGATTTTATCTGTTAGTTTAACACCACCACACGCTATTTTAAAGATCTAATTTCTATCAGATTCATGCTTGTAATTTATTTGGAATCCAACTGGTCATGAAGTAACTTGGAAAACGTGGCTGTAATTCAACCACTAAATCTGTTGGGTTTTTCCCTAGTATCTTCAACAGTGAAAGTCTATTGATGACACATTTGAAATGCAAGAATAAATATAAATAACCAAACTGTACATACTCTTGAACATGTCATTTAATTGGTTTTCATAACATATAAATATGATGCAATAACCACTATGCTAAAAAGCAAGGCAATACAAGACCAACAACACAGTTAAGAATGTGCAGTGCATGCCATTACTTGCACTTCCCATCACCAAACCCAAGACATATAATTACCCTAGAAAACAAACAGAAAAACTTCCAGTCCAAATGCATTTAGGAGAGAATGCACCTTCTAAACACCTGCCTGTTCTTACTATTGTGACAAGGAGTTTCACAGGGAAACTGTACTTCAACCACCTGAGAAGTAACAATGGCAACAGGATGTGATAAGGATATTGGTGTTTTCACAGAAGTTTCCAAAACAGGTTTGTCACAGTGGTGTCCATTTAATTTTAAGTAGAATATCCATTGTGACATTTCCCTTTTTTTGTGCACTTGCTTTAAACCAGGAAATATCTGAAAGTGAGCTACAACAAATATACTAATCCTATAACCTTTCTTTAACAAAGTAACCCACTGACAAGCAAAATAACCCACAACCCACACAATGCAATCTTCTAAATGCTTAAATAACTGCTCCATAAACTGCAACCCAATCATTTTTCTCAGCAAACAAGAGAAAACTGGTAAGCACAGTGTAAAAATCACAGCAAGAAAAACATCAGAAGGCATGGCTACTATTTCTTCGCCTCCTGCCTTTTCCTCCATTCTGGATTCAAACAAACCCACTCATGTATAAGAAATACAAAAAGCTACTTGAAAAATACTCATCAGCTCTTCCATTCTCCCAAAACACTTCCAACTTTTTATTTAGGTGTAGTAGGTACTACTTTCCCTCTTAAAACACCTGCTATTTTAGCTACATTTCATGTCCTTACCAGATCGGAAGCGCTCATCCCTTGAGTTGTTGGAACGGGATTTTTGCTGTTTCACACCAGTGGCAGTAGCTTGTGAAGAGCCTGACACTCTGTTCTCTGCTTGCAGGGATGGATCCACACCTGGAATACAGTTTGATTTCAGTACAAATTGAGGCTCACAAATAAAACATCTACTTTCTGAGTAAGTAGGTGTCAAGAACATAGACAAGCTCAATTGGAGCCCTCAGTCTATACCTCTAAAAACCAAATCTCATCTACCAACTGCATTTGAAATTATTTAAACCCTAGCTTCATCAGATAAGCATTTCACACAGAAGATAACAAACACTTCTGAGGATCAGAAAAAAATGCTCTACTTTGTTTATAATCCTTTGTCATTAGGTGGTCTGCATGCCAGATCCATGCAAAGGGAGGAAAGGGAATCAACCCTCTCTCATCTAACTGCTGGACATTGAGAGATATCATAGAATCAGAATGATGGAATGGTTTATGTTGGAAGGGACCTTAATGCTCATCCAGATCCATCCCCCTGCCACGGGGTAGGGACACCTTCCACTAGAGCAGGTTGCTTCAAGCTCCGCCCAACCTGGCCTTGAACACTGCCAGGGATGGGGCAACCACAGCTTCTCTGGGCATCCAACTCTGGAGATATGCTCCTGTCTTTTACAGTTTGCTATACAGAAAGAACATCATTTCCCGTTTTCCAAAAGTAAAGCTTTTGAAGTACGTAACAGGTGCTGATAGGGAAAATGAGACAGGCCAGTAAAGAAATTGAAGTGTCCTCAATGGAGGACACCTGAACTTGGAGCCGAGTAGTGCTGAAACATCATGTGCTTACCCAGTATAAAGAGGAACCATTCCCTGAAAAACCTTTAGCAGAATTCTGTTTCTAAAAGAAAAGCAACTTTAGCCTGCCAATGGAACTGATTCAATGCATCTGACAATTGAAGAGTGCTGAAAACACTGGAGAACTGTACTGTGCATTTCATGTGAATGAATGTTTAACATAACCACAAGTCAAGAGTCCAGTGAGAGCTGTTGATCTGGATACAGTATATAACAACTTTATATTCATTAAAAAGATTAAGGCAAGTAATTCCTTCAAAGCCTGAGCCAAGAAAAGAGCAGATGCAACAGATAATGCAACAACTGAGTTGGGTTTTTTCCTCCAAAAGAGGGTAATAAGTTCTAGGTGGAAGAAGAGATTAATGCTCTCCTCTGAATTCCTTATGCTTATCTTTGCCAGTCCTACAGTTCAGTACCCAACTTTAGAAATCTGTTTCTATCCAGGCTCAGTACAGCCAATGAACCCCCATTCTGAACTCCTGCAGCTCGTATGTAAGCAAGTGACCACACAGCCTTGGAATCAGGTCTCATAAGACCACAACGAAGCCATGACAATGAAATATATATCACTGAACCTCAGAAGTACCCTTTAAATAAGGATGAGGCACAAAATCAGTGCTGCTGTTGGCAACCACAGGTGCATTTCTTCAGGTTAAATCTCCCTTTTTACTTTCTCAGAGGTTTCAGTTCATAATGCAGAAATACCAAGGATCAATGTGAAAAGTATCACTTTTTGGTAAAAACAGTAAGATATTGCATGTAACTCTTAGGCTGCGCAAGTATGTGCCAGAAAAATCCTGTTCTACAAGCTTGGTGAACTCGGTAATTTATTCTGGTACTATGCAGAAGCCGTCAGCAGAAGCAGCTGGGTAATTTGCTAAATCCCCCATTCACACTGATGAGCTTTACAAAAATAACATTTTAAGCAGTACACACTGAAGACTTGATCCACTATCACTCAATTTTGTCCATTTTTAACTTAGCCAAAGCTAGCAAAAACTAAAAGTCATCTTAAAGAGGCTGCTTGTTCCAATTAACAGAACAATTCATTTCTACAGGAGTAAATTAAAGTTACTATTGGAATTATAGCTGTATTCTTCCATTCACTAACACTGCAGAGTCAAGACTAATACTGATATTTCAAGCAATTTTGATTTATAGAAACAAAACCAAATTAATGATAAGAGCACTGACCAGTAAACAGGACAATGACCACAAGTGCAAGCACTGCTGGGGAGGATGCCGGGCTAAACACATCTGGCATCAGACACGCAAAGATAAATGAATCACAGAATCCCAGCCTGGTTTGTGTTGGGAGGGACCTTAAAGCTCATCCAGTTCCAACCCCTGCCACGGGCAGGGACACCTTCCACTAGAGCAGGTTGCTCCAAGCCCCTGTGTCCAGCCTGGCCTTGAACACTGCCAGGGATGGGGCAGCCACAGCTTCTCTGGGCACCCTGTGCCAGTGACTCAGCACCCGCACAGGGAAGAACTTCTGCCTAAGAGCTCATCTCCATCTCCCCTGTTCTGGCAGGTTAAAGCCATTCCCCTTGTCCTGTCCCTACAGGCCCTTGTCCAAAGCCCCTCTCCAGGTTTCTTGTAGTCCCAGGAGAAATGTCAAAAACACACTTAGCAAAACCACAAACTTTATTGCAAGATGACTCTTCTGAGAACCCACATGCAGAGCAGTTGCTCTGTTGCCTCTTCCATATAATCAGAGTAAGATGTGATGTCTTAAGGTCAAACTCAACTGTTTTTAAAGACTTTCACCACCATCTCAGCAAACCCTTATTTGTAACAGCTATTAGGAATTCAAATCTAAATAGATTTGGTAGATTAGATAAATCTAATTTACCTTTGCAAAAAGACTGATCTGGAAATCTAATCTCCCAAAACAAAAATTCATAGTTTTGTTTCATACAGTTCTAAACTCAGTTAATTTATATAAGTTGAAGCAGTTTACTAGCTGAATCAAAAATATTCTATGTTTTAATGGTAAAAATGAAAGCCAAAGGAGCTAAAGTAGCATGGCAACAAATCCCTCTGCTCAGTTTCACTTGCATTGCTACCTAGTTATGTATGATGCCTCCAAAAATACAGTTAGCAGAAGATGACATTATCCCATTAGACAGCTTTGCAGAAAGAGAGGGAAGAGGGAGGCCAACTTCAGGCTCTTTGTGCACCATTAAACCTTTCTGCAGCTGTTGAGCTGTATCTAGAAATAAGGAACAAAAGACAAGCACCAGGTTCAGAGCACTAAAAGAAAGGAAAAGGGGCACAACAAGGAGGAAAATAACCCAAGTGTGGGAAACTCCCGGTCTGGCTCTAGGCCAGCCTTTTGCTCTACCCAGCTCTGCCCTAGTCCCTCTCTGCTGTCTCCTCCAAACCCAGCAACCTGCTCTCACCAAAGACCCATTACCCAAGGCTCTTCAGCACATCTTCTCCAACCCTGGCCCTGGTTTCCACCCCTTCTCCATGGATCCAAGCCCTGCAGACCTCCTGTTCATCCCTCTCCACTGTGGTCTGTTTTCCACCCACACTCACAGAGGGTCCCTACCAAATCCAGGGAGGTTTTGGCCGAGGAATGCAGCATTTCTTAGTTGGCTGTCTCTGCCTGCCCTAAAGGAGAGGGAGCTTCAGGACATTCCTAGTTAGAGACAGGCAGTCTACAAGAATAGGCAAGATCTTTCCTCAAAGGTTTTTCATCTGTTTACTAATGTATGCAAGGCGCAGGATCAGGTGTGATGAAAATAGCTTCTCCTTCCCTGTTAATACTGCCTCATGCATCATGGCAGAAGAGGTGCATCATTGTGTAGCACCTTCAAACAAGGTATCTGGGTATAACCCTTTGATTTCACCATCACTTGTGTACCTTGTACTACTCAGTCTTCTCAGCAAAGCTGATGCTGTGCTGATGCATACCTAGGTTAAGTACAGCTCCATAGTAACAGACATTAATTCCACATTGCTTTAAACAGAATTTTGGATAGTTATTTCCAGTTAGTTCCTACTGAACTGTAAAGGAAAAAAGACAGCCAAACTCTTCTCACATAAATGACCCGAGATGCTGAAGTTCTACATGAAACTTGCTGAGTTTTGGATCCTTTCATAGCAAACTTAAGGCAGGAGAGTAAATGAAAATTATCCCCCAAGAGACTGAAATCTGAGGACCTCTCTTCACTTTTTGATCTGATAAATCTTATCTTAGTTATTAAGCATCCAGCCCTTACACAGGTCATAGTTCAATTTGACCATTCTTCGCTGTCATATCACTTCCCAGAACATATTACCTGATCCACACATTCTTCTCTCCCAGATCTGAAGTGATCTAAGTGTTCACACATGCTGGATCAGTGAAACTACACAAGGGTCTACCCAATGCAATTTATTATCCAGCATAACATATCAGAAAATGATGAGTTTAAAGAAATGGTAATAGACACTGTATAAATGATCGTGCATGACAATCTTCCACTGTTCTATAGTGTTTTCCTCTACTCAAGGAAGTAAACTTCAGCGCATAAGCTTGGAGAAAATGAATCCATCTTAAGGGTGTTACTATTTGCCATTAAAGGAAGCAGCAGCAAATACAAAAGCATTTGCTAAAAATCCAATGAATCCAAATACTAGCCAGGAAACTAAACTGTCTCAATGAAAATGCCAACAGCAAGAGACATACTCATTTAGACATGACAAGACTGGTAAGCAGAACACCTACGTGTCATGAGCTACAACTTTTATTTCTCAGAATAACAGTCTATTCTAAGCAGGGTGTAAAACTCATCCCACTCTAATGAATGCTGAAGCACCCAAAACAGCAGTTCAGGAGATATTTCACAAGGGGCCCGGCTCTCCTAACATAGGGGATACTGCCTGTCAGGGACAACCCAAATTCATATAAATTACCTAAGTGCCATGCAGCCCAGTTCTAATCAAAGCAGGCAGCAAAAGAAGCAGAAGACAGACAATGAAAAGCCTCTGTGGCAGGGAGTCGGCAAAACCAGCCCTAGGAGCAGGGAAGAGCACGAAGCACAGCAACCAGGGGAAGATGGCTGGCTGACTGAGGCCGTGGACCTTGGAAGATCCCTGTTAAAACCCTCTTTGTTTGGCTATTAACTTTCAAGGTGATGTTGGCCACATCACTTACATAAATGTGGTTATATTAGCTGAGTCAGCAGAGGCAATGTCTATTTAAGCACATTAATTAGAAAAGAAGCAAGCAAGCTACCAAGAAGGATGGATATAAACACATGTTGGGCTCCTGACAGGAACAAAAGAGGTCTTACATGGTTTGTTTGAGAAAAGTACAAGGCATTGTCTATCAAAGGTAGGTTCAAGTAAGACCTAAGGAAGAAGCTCTTCCCTGTGAGGGTGCTGAGGCCCTGGCACAGGGTGCCCAGAGAAGTAAATGCTCCATCCATGGCAGCATTAAAGGCCAGGTTGGACAGAGCCTTGGGTGACATGGTCTGGTGTGAGGTGTCCCCACTCAAGGCAGGTCCTGGTCTCAAAATCTTGAGCTGGAGCACACAGTATTATGAAGAGAAAAGTGAAACAGCTCCTCCTGGCAGGTGAAACTAAAGCTTGCTGCTGACTACAGCATTTATCACAGAAATCCAAACTGCTTCTATTCAAGGAATGAGCCCTTTTATAAAGCCAGGTTAGGTCCTGCATGTTCCACAGAGTATTATATATTTGCTACGGGAAAAGCTACAGCTGTTGGTAAAACAGCAAATCCACAACAAACCCATGCTAAGAAACCCCACGATGAAACTCCAGATCATGTTCTGACTGCTCAACGTCAAATACACACCGTAAAACACCACAGCTGAGCAGAACTCAAGGGAATAGAACTTTTGTCTCTCCTGCTACAAAGAGCCAAAGGCATCACTACGTCGAGATTTCAAAAGCAAAAGAGACTATCATCTAGTTCCACAATTTGCACAAAACTGTATGGAGCTGCCCATTTCTCCTTCAAATCAGTAACTTCTGTAAATATCTGAACTAAGCCAGGACCAAAATCACAGCATTAGTCCCTCTCTTCTCTGAGCATAACACTAACATTGTACTCTCTTTCTCTCATCTATCTACAGTGTCTCATGATCAGGTCCACTCACCTCAGTTCTGCTCTCATTTTCCCTTTTCTCAACCAGAATCTCTCAAGCTATGGAAGCATCTACCTAGCAAATACAAGCCTAAAGCTCAGTGGCAGCAGAATGGCTTCAAACCCAGAGTGATTTAAGTGTCCTAGTATAAAAATAAACCAAAAACTTGGGCATTTAGCTTTCAGCCATTGAAGATAAAGTCTGACAATAGACACCTTAAGAAGTAACAGTTTATATTAAACAGCATTTTGAAGAAACTGGTTAGATGCCATGTCAATCAAACACTATTAATTCGTCTATTCTATTTAATGAGAACTTTTCCATTACCTATTTCCCCAGATTTAGCACAAAAGGTGTAACTTACACGCAGTCTCTTACCTTGAATTAATGGTATGTACCGTGCTAACAGCTTTGCTCTTTTCTTTTCATATCCTTTCTGAGTGATGTCTCCTAAAGAAACAAAAAACAAATTCATATTGGTTTGAATTACTGAACTGGTTTTAAATAAGCCTTCTCATTTTCATGATCCCTAGGATTAAACTGGATAATTCTGAATGAGTTAACAGCAATCAGGAGCTGGAGATGTCAGAGAAATTCATGGCCATACCCATAATACCCATGCAGATATGATCATTAGTGTCTTGGAGGTATACCACAGAGGGATAGTGGTTTTGTCTGCAGCATTGTGCTAAACCTGGTTCTGAAGTTATTTACCATTTACACAGCACAAAACAGATGCACTGTTAAGACAAGGAAGCTTTCAAATTCTAGGAGGTGATAATCTCCTTCCAGCACTAGCTTTTATTCACAGTTATCATCCAACATCCCATTTTAAACCTGTTTTGCAGACTCCACTGGTAAAACATGGTAAAGCTCCACTGGAAAAACATGAGGTCTTTTCACAGAGTAGAATAAAAGCTAAACTACAGAGACCCAGAAGAGGTTTTGAAACATTTTAGAATTTGCACTGCCATGGTTCTACCAACAGAACTTCACGTAAAACCAGCAGGAAACTTTGTACTAAAACACCCCAAATCCCACCAAGATTTTACAAGTTTTGTCTCTTTTCTAGACCTCAGCGCAGACATGAAAACAGGGATCTAAAACCACTGCCAGCTCTCACAACTCACACCTGTTTAAAGAGGGTGAGGCACTCTGCAGTTTCATTTAACAAACTGGACTTCTATCCCTCCTCACTTGTGGCAAATGACTCAAACCAGCATGAAATATGGCCAAGATTAAAGATATTAAAGATACCTGGTTATTTTTTGAAACACGCTCAAATAAAAGGTGAATTTTAGAAACGTATGCAGGTAATGACCTTGACATGAAACAGGACACAAAAGTAAAATTTAGCAGTTTGATCTTTGCTTCAAGAACATTCTTCCAGCAACATACACATGAAAAGGGCATATAAGAGGGGAAAAAAAACCCAAGTAAATCAGCCGACCTCTGGCCGCTTCCTGCCAAACCTAAAACTTCTTCCCCATGCTATTCACACAAGAAATCTATACTTAATGTCTGGAAACCTTGCAATTGACAGAACTCCAGGAACACAACCCCACTCCTAGGGCCTCTCTGACCTCAGTCATAGGCGTGCAAACAGTCCCAAACTGGCTGGTGTTGGAAGGGACCTTAGAGCTCATCCAGCTCCAACCCCTGCCACAGGCAGGGACACCTCCCACTAGAGCAGGGTGCTCCAAGCCCCTGTGTCCACCTGGCCTTAAACACTGCCAGGGATGGGGCAGCCACAGCTTCCCTGGGTAAGATCTGACATGTCCTATAATATGCTGGGTATTTGCCTTTATCTTTACCAATCCTATCTGCAGGCAAACAGCAGAATCAAGTTATGAAGGTAATCCAGAGAAAGACAGGGTATGATTTACACGGGATTCCCTTGGAAATGAGGCTATTAACTATATATATAGTAGTATAGTCTACTAGTAACAGTAATTTTTAATTCATCTGGACAAGTGGTTTGGATATGCAGAAGCAAGAATCTCTTTTCCTCAGTCAGATTTTACACAGAAAAATTCCTACTCTGTATTTTAAAATGTTTCTTGGGTATTTGTCTTAATACATAAGTGGTGGGTTAGGTTAATATTGTATGTGCTGCTATTTTCTCATCTATCCACCCCTCTCCTACAACAGAGGACCGTGCTAACAGAAACAAAGTCATTTCATTCAACCACCCCACAAATAAGTGAATTTGCATCATTTAAAATCACTGACAGAATGCCAAAACAAGCAATGACAGCTTGAAGACACTGTTCAAAACAGGTAAGGGAATAGAAAATGCAAATCCTGGAGTGCTTCAATCACTGCAAACTACAACCAAACAGAATTTGTCAGGTTCTACTCATAAACCTGTGTAAATATTTCATATAAAACATAGACCAAAGACAGAAATGCTTTGGTTATCATTTTCCTCGAGCAGAGGAAATTTCAGAGAAAATACACAGAAATGTAATTTGTATACATATGTTAAATAATTCTATTGAAACAAGAATAGAATGAAACCAAACCAAAACACAAATACCCAAGCAGATTTGCATGCTTGAGTGTAAATTGTCATTGTGATCACTGTGATCAGCTCTCCTAAGTCAGTCAGTTCTACAAAGAAAGGAAACGGATACCAAAAAGAGGTGCAGCATTTTCAGCTATGGAAGGGAAAACAAGCAACCAAACAAAACCCAGACAAGAAGTTTATCATAAAACTTAAGTCATTTGGAAGACAAAAGCAATCTCAGCAAACTCTGGAAGTAACAAATGCTGCACGTAACAGAAACTTGCCATACCGCAGCTCCAGGGAGGACAGTCATTTCCACAGCTTCCTAAAGTAATCCTTACATTACATCCCTGTGCAGGTCAGGCATCACCAAACGGAAGCAGTACAGCATGGAAGCAGCAGATCAGCAGAGAGGGTTGAAAAGAGAGTCTCATTTAAACCAGCTCCTCTCCAGCTTTGGCACCTCCCTGCACTCTTTGATTCTGCTACAATGCTGACTTGAAGAATTTTCCTTGAATGGGTTAAGAAAAGTCGTAAGTCAGAAGCATCTCCGTCTACTTTCAAGCCCCACTGGCAATTCCCACTTTGCTGCCAAGCAAAGCTTTCCTTTGTTCCTCAATCTAAAGCCGGGGGGGTGGGGGGGGTGGGGTGGGGGGTGGCTTCCCCCTGACAATCACTACCCAGCCGTTCACCCTCAGAGCCTCAGTGGGATTAACCCATCATTTGGAGTTCTTTGTGAGCCTTCACCTCTTCCCAAAAGAGCTGCTTAGCCACATCTGGTGCGTGGTGGCCACAGCTGCTGTCATTTAGCCTCACTTTCTCCCCAGTTATTAGATTACACAAAAGCAAGATGAGGTTCCTCCGTCTCAGCAAACCAGTTGGGGGATAAAGCGGAGCACCAAGTCAAGCCGTTAGTGCTCTGCCTGGAATAGCTGGAATACTGCAAAGTATGTCAAAGGCTGCGAGAAAATTAAGCTAGTCATAAAGGGAAGTGTTAGCATTTCTTAAAATGATCTGAAAAAGCCATTTTCTTGATGAGTGCACAAAGAATCTGTCCAATCTACCCAGGCATGGTTTTATTTCAGTGTGACCACTATAGTTAACAGAATCTTAATGCCAAATTAACCAGTTCAGTATTAGCTGTATGTAATTAGGGTTTCCTCACTTATTTTTCATTGGCTATACACTTGCTGGGTTCCAAAATTTCAACTAGTTTATTCTCAATGCTGAAAACTATGTGCTGAACAGTACATTTATGGAGTAAATGCTTCAATGCTCTTCAAAACCACAGGAATAGCAAACAAGCACAGGCTTCACTGCCTAGGTACTGCTGTCATGCCTCTTCACATTCCTGAAGTCCTGACTCTGTAATCACAAGTATTTTATGGTAGTTCTGCCCACTGGATAACAATGCTTAGAAAGAGCTTCTCTTGAACTACGAACTGGGCATAGGTGAGAGATGCAGCTCACAAACACAGTGTGCCTAACAGAGAGTGCAGCAGCCTCTCCTCTTCAGTGCATGATACAGGGCAAAACACATTCAGTGCTGCTCTACCTCCTTTGTACACCTGCACTGAAGAGGCCTCGAAGGATTCTGATGGAGAAGGAAAGATGAGTAAGACGCTGACAGACACAGAACAGCTCATGGGAAGGAGCTTGCTATGAAGTGAGCAACTTCTCCAGTCCTTCATCAGTAGTTTGCACTTCAGTTCTCATGGGGAGCAGCTGTAAGAAACCATGCACCACACTGTGCTGGCAAGAGGTCTCAAGAGTCCCTTGTGTAAGCACAAGATGACTGGGGGTAGCAGACAGCTGAGGATGGCTCCACCTGCTAAAGGTAAGGAAATGCCTTCTGGTCAATAATGAGACTTCTAAATGAGATGACTGTGCATTAAATGCGGATGAAAAGAATAAGATGTATTACATCTGGATGACAAAACCTTTAAGGATTCAACTGTTCAGACACCGGTGAGCACAGTCACATTCTCACGTATATCAACTACATCAGGTATATCACACTCTCAGGTGCATCAACTACTGACAAATCACTGCAAAAACTTTTTCAGTATAAAGCAGGGGTCAAGGGAGTGCTGCCTGAAGAGCTGGCTCCTGAATGGTTTGAAAAGGCAGCAGCAAGCTGGCAGTTTAAAACATAACTCAACGTCACCTGTGGAAAAAATCTGATCTCCAGTATGTCAGAGGACAGGTTGTAACTGCATTTGAAGGCTTGGTGGAGTTGGAAGAATCAGTGTAGCAGGCACTGATTTCTAATTCTACCTCTTAGACATGGCAAGTATCTTTATTAAGCGAAACAACTCACCAAGCTGTATTTTGCATCATTCTAGAAGTACCCTAGCAGGACCACTGCATTGCTGCATGATTTTGACTTACTTCAAAGTCAGAAACAACAAAAAATTGTGAAAGAAATAATTACCCTGACATCTGTGATTTCTGTCCACTGAAAAAGCAAAAATGATCAAGGTATTTCTAAGAACTATCATGAGGACAACAGTAAGGAAAAGCAGTAAGACTTGGTGTAACAGCTGGAGAATCAAAAGATGGTGCTGAGGAACACTGACCCATGCAGCCAGCACAAGAAATGCTTCAGTTTGTCATGGTACCCATCTTCAGAGTAAATCATGTGCCAACCAGTCCTGAGGAAAACAATGGAAGCACACAGGAAAAGAGACCTCACCAACACAGATGACAGCAGAACAAGGAAGAGACGGTTCATCTCCTGAGCAAGCTCTGAAACTACAGCTATTAGAGAATGAAGGGATCGTGAGCTTGAGTCCTATCATGCATGTGCATTGCAAGCTTTCCTGATACAGCTTCAGAGAGTGCCAACATCATTATAGCCAACATCAACAGAGAGGGAGTTTCTTAAGGATGCTTACCACTCCAAGGCTTGAAACTAATGCACACAAGTAATACCTAGTAA